GATAAAGTCGGCAACATGCAATTAATGAGCCCCTTTGAAGCTCTTCTATTTAAGAGCTCTTGTTCAACTTTTTTGAACATCCTTGGCTGCTGTTTTGACCTGAGAAAACCTAAAAGAGAGAGAGAGAGAGGATCTTGTGAGGGGGAGCTTGTGAGGGGATTCACAAGGGTTACTCCAAGCATTGTTCCACTTCTTCTTCCCTAGAGTCTCTTGTACTTGGAAGGGTTGGGAGAGGTAAGTTTAAATAAGTGATCGTGGTTCTCTTCTTCCTTTAGGAGGAATCAAAAGGAGTTGTGTTCTCTGCCTTGCCGGGTGTGGCAAAAAGGAGGTGTTTTTGTGAGGGCTTCTCCGCCTAGCTGTGGGGGCTAAATGAGAGTCACGTTCGTAGTGCAATACTCGGAGGGCGCCTCTCGGGAGTGGACGTAGGTCGAGTTGACCGAACCACTAAAAACCCTTGTGTTTTTGTTTTTACTGCTTTCGCATTTATTTTCTTCCGCACTTGTTTTTGTGGTGATTTGGTTTGTGATAATCAATTTTTTTTTTTTTGCTTAAAGAAAATTTTAAATACCAATTCACCCCCCTCTTGGTTAGCCTCGGTCCAGTTCTGTAGGGCTTAACATCCCTAACGAACTTTCAAGTGGTATCAGAGCGGGATTCAGAAAAACTAAGTTTGAAAACTTTTTGAATTTTGATCCGTGGCAAACTTTAGGAATCGTAATACACCAGAAGGATATTCTATTACCCAACCACCTTTGTTCGATAATATCCCATTTGATTTTTGAAAAACTCGCATGTCTACTTTTTTACAATCTACTGATTATCGCATGTGGATGCTTGTTAAGGATGGTTACACACCTCCAATTGCTAAACTTAACGGCATTATTATTCCACTTTCTTTTATTGAATGGACTTTAGATGATAGGGATTTGGCCCAATTAAATGCAAAATGTCTTAATTGCTTTTTTTGTGCCTTAAAATCAGAAGACTACATGCGTGTTTCTACTTGCAAAAATGGTAAAGAAATTTGGGATAAATTGTGTATCACTTATGAAGGCACTAATGAAGTTAAGTAATCCCGTTTTAATATTCTCTTGCATGACTACAAACTTTTTTGTATGAAACCTCGTGAATCAATTTCTGAAATGTATACGAGATTTACTCAGATTGTTACATCTTTGCCTGCCTTAGGAAGAGAACTTTCAAACTATGAAAAAATGAACAAGATTTTGAGATGCTTGCCTTCATCTTTTGATGCTAAAATCACTGCAATTACTGAATCTAAAGATTTAAATACGTATTCGATTGACAACTTACTTGGCTCACTCATTTTCTTACGAGCAAGGAGTGAATCAAAGAAATGTTGATGCAGGTGAGAAAAGAATGGAGAAAACGGTGGCACTGAAGGCACACAAATCATACTCTGACTCTTCCGGGTCTGAAAGCGATGAATTTGCCTTACTCACAAGGAAATTCAAAAACTTTCTAAGGAAGAAGCAAAAGCATCATTAGAGAAAAGGTAAGGATAATAAATATTCGAAGGGATCTTCTGATATTGTCTGTTGTGAATGTAGGAAGCCCGGACATGTGAAAGCTGATTGTCCTACACTTAAGACGCACATAAGCAAGGAAAAGAGTGAGGAGAAATCCAAATTCATAAAACATAAAAAGAGACTTCAAAAATCATTTTAGGCAAATTCTGCATCGGATTCATCAGAGATGGAACCAGAAGATGAGACAACAAACTTGTGCTTGATGGCAGACGATAATCTTGATCAAGAAGAGGTATGTGAACTTTCCTACAATCAACTTCTTGAAGTTTCTGAAAAAATTCATGCATCATATAGGAAACTTAAGAAAACAAATGCAAGCTTAAAATTGGAATTTTTGGAGTTACAAAAAGAGCATGCTATTATGACTAAAGATCATTCTATAATTGATTCAAATCATATGGCTCTACTTGATGAATTTGATGTGTTAAACAAAAAACATTATGAATTAATTGAAGAGCGTGAGTCACTAAAAGTCACACACACCTCACTTGATTCTTATTTTAAAAAGTCTAAAGAGATGGAGAAAAACTTGAGGATTGAGAATGAAGTATTAAAAAGCACAAATTTGAAGATTCAAAATGAATTAGATGCATGTAAGAAAACTAGGATGACAACTACTTTTGATCAACAGCCAAAACTTAGGAAGAGGTATTATAACTCAAACCATTTAAGAAACCCTTTTCCTGGAGTTAGATATTTTTCTTGTGGCATTGTTGACCTCATTTTTGTATGAGGTCACTAGGACCCATCTTGGTTTTATTTTGGTGACCTAATGATCGACAAGTTCTCACTTGTCGATCATATAGGTCCCAAACATATCCCATTCAACTCTTAATCAAAGTTCCAATCAACCTTCAATCATTCTTCGAATCAAATTTCAATTATACTCCAATCCAGTATGCAATCTACACTTCAATCAATCATTCGACCCAGCTCGTAATTGACCTCATCAATCTTCCTTAAAATCAAAATTGAATCGCATACGGATTACTTAAAGTTAATTTGATCATATGAACTAGATTTGATGACGTCGAATTTGTTTGAATCAATTTGAATTTTATTCACCTCAATGGCTTTGATCAATTTAGTTTAGATTTCCCCGACTCGACGCAAGTGCAAATTAGCTTGATTAACATTAATCGGCTCAATTTAACTTCTCTCGAGTCAAATCAATTTTGATTAATGCAAATTAATTTGACCCTTTTAAATAAGGATTTTTGCATAATTAATTGAGTTCTTAATTCTAGCTTTTATTTTATTGCTATTGAAGTTTTAAATCATCTTAATTTCAGCATTTAATAACAACCGTCAGATTAAGTTTTAAAGGCTTGATGTTTTTGTTTGATTGATTCTAATAGCATTAGAGAGAGCTCTCTCTCGGATGGCCCCCAGATTTTTTTTCTTTTCTCTGTGCTAGGGCCGGCTGAAAGGGGACTCTACGATTCCATTCCCTCAGCAGCGGCAAGCCTCGGCCTCCAGCTCGATCTGCTTCCTGCAGTAGCTCAACTCTTCACCAGCTGTAGCAACTTCAAGCCCTAGCAAGAGATGCACTCCACGCCTCCAATCTGAGAAGCAGCCGTCCATTGGAATGGATCTCCCTCTCATTCTCAAGAGAGACCTCTTTCTCACCCGTTTTTGAAGCTGCTAGGGCCGGCCACTGGAAGAGAACCCTCTCTCACTCTCACGTGAAACTGATTCCATGCCTCCATCTCGATAGACAGCGACCCTTGGCTCTCACGCCTCCAGCCGCTCTTTCCTCTTCTCCATCCGTCCAAGGTAAAGGAAGAAGAAGAAAGCCCATTCAAAAGCTCCGGCCATCACTCTCCTTGCACAGCAAGTTTCGGCCAGCCTCTCCCATAGCAGATTTTGGCCAATAATAAGAGGAAGATCTGCTGTAGATCTTCGTCCAAGCAAGAGGTGAGCTACAAGGGGGGGCTTTCGGCGTGATTTACTACGGTAATCTCTTCTTCTTTTTTTTTTAATTCCTTACATTTCCTCTGTTTGAATCCAGATGGCTGTCATCAATCTATGAGTTGAGGTTCTATATTTAACTGTGATTTGAAATGAGTCTTCATGAGATTTTATGAAAGAGATACAAGAGACCTAAGTATTTTCTTCTTGATGTTTTCTTTATTACTATCATTCTTTTTAATCAAACATTTTTTTTTAACTCCAATACGGCTGAACTTTTGTGCGTGGATTTGTTTTTCAAGAGTTTTGTTTCCTTCCTAAATCTGAATAAGGAAGCACGTTGGATTGGTTTATAGATTTGAATGCTCATGCTGATAGGGATAAATTTTCTTTTGAGGATGAACGGTCATAATGCCGTGACTTTATTTCTTGGATTTGTCCGATTTCTTGTGCCATTCATTATCTTGTTCTACTTGATGAAAATGATTCTCTAGATTTCCATCTGATGCAAGCTTATGCTTATGATATGAAATGCCACTCTCTCTAGCTCCTCACATGAAATCATTAGAAATTTATAACAGGTTTGACTATTCTTTGTTGTAAATAGTCTTTGGAAGGACGTTTATTCTCCTTAATGCCAATATTTCTTGATGAAACATTAAGTAAGGAATGGCCATATGGATAATTCTGGATAAAAATTGACTTATGTTTGATTCTTACATCATCTGTTAAATAAGTTGTTTGCTTTTGGTGGCAGACGTGTTACTTTCATCGGTACTTTGTAAGGTGTATTGAAAAACACATTTTGACCTAAAGGGTTATGCTTATATTGAATATGGTCATACACATTCTTGAAATTGATAGTATAAATATGTTTACTCTTGTGATAAGTAGGGCTAAATATTTGATTTTAAAAAAAATATATTACAATCCTCTTTATATTTCCGATTCCCTTAATGTTCATAGTTAAATGCAAGTTTGCTACATGTTTTTGAGAGGTATTTTGAATTAATTGTAAGGGAATGAAATTGTTTTGAGTTGTCTATATATATATTATGAGCTGTTCCCAGTTACGTGGCCTTGATACATTGGTGATTGGAACTCCTGGCTCGATAGAGTATAGAGTTCTTTCTTTGTCAAGATGTGTAGATTATCAAAAAAAACAAGCAGCGGCCCTATTGTTATTCTTAAATGCACTAGCTGTCAGATTCCCCGAAGAAATCACTGTATTTCATGGCAGTTTGTTGGTATACTTGATGGTCCTGCCAGGGCTGTTGGTTTCCAGTTCAGTATTACTTCCAAGGTTCACAATAATGACAGGCATACGAGCTTTGTAAACGGTATAGCAATAGCAAACAATCATATTTTGGTGATAAACCTAAAACCTATAAGGAGCTGACTTGAAAATTCTAGATGTCATTGTTGTCCTGAGATAATTAATAATTTACATGATCTGAAGCTCATTAGGCCTCTGGTTCATGACTTTACTTAAATAGAGACCAAATACCCATAAGGGTAAAAATGGAAAAACTAAAATAAAATAAATTACTACATAACATGACAAAATAAATAAAACTCCTGACGTGGCCGTCGATCTCCGGTGTCTCCGATGGCACACATGTCGAAATTGCTGACGATGTCCTCATTAGTAAAAGTGACTCTAGTAAAAACTACTCTAAGTAATGATGATTTCCTACAAAAATTTAGCAAACATTACATACCATACACCTATATCAGAGCAAAAGAAATTCAAAGTCTTTCAAATATTCAATTTTTCATAGGTGGAGAAAGAAATTGCTGACGATGTCCTCATTAGTAAAAGTGACTCTAGTAAAAACTACTCTAAGTAATGATGATTTCCTACAAAAATTTAGCAAACATTACATACCATACACCTATATCAGAGCAAAAGAAATTCAAAGTCTTTCAAATATTCAATTTTTCATAGGTGGAGAAACTAATGACAAGATCCTGACCACTCCAAACTCTAATTTTAACTTGTATAATAAGATTGCAAATGGTCAGTATTTTTGCTTCCAGAAAGATGAATGCCCACATAAAACTGGACAACCCTACCTTGAGAAGAAGGGCGTTGCAGGTACCTTCTTGGACTGCCCTATCTATACGTTTAGGATTTGACATTAAAAGATCATCCCCTACAACCTGCAAAAACAAGTTTCAAAAGCTTATTCAAATGCTTCCAAGTAGCTTTCTGGAAAAATAAAATGCTTTGAAAGACACCTGACATATCCCAAGTTCAGAGAGTAGCTTTGTGTGCTCCCAGTCATCCTTGTCAAATGGTTGCTCAATGGACACAATAGGGTAGGCTAGTATTGTAAAGAAATTTAAAAGTAATCAATAGATGTTAATGTAAGGTTGAAAATGAAAAGTTCTGATTACAAAATTACCTGCACAGAGCTGGGTGTACATCTCAATCATATCTTCTCCAGTTTTAAAATTCTGCTCTGATTTCTTTGGAATCTTGAAGTCCAAGTCGTATCTCTTTCCTAATCATAGAAGTGAAAACAAGTCGGCCCAAAGTTTTCTTTACACTCACTCACAGCTACCAGGTACTAAGTTTTCTTTACACTCACTCACAGCTAACAGGTGCATGCACTTAAAAGTAAGGACAGAGAATATGCATACAACAACAACAAATCTTTATTCCATTATCTGGGTCGGCTACCTGAATAATATTTTCTTTGTTGTGTCCAATTAAGAGAATATGTATGTCGAACATAATTAATGATTATAAACACTCTCAAATCATTAAACATAAAAATGGTAAGCACGCAAATAAGATGCCATATCCTCAGCGAACCCTTCACGGTCCCGCTGACACCACTAAAAGAAAACCAAATTGAAGATAAGAGCCCAAACCTATGCAAAATTCTGTAGCGCCAACATCTATAGCTAACTTAATCCTCCCATTATAGCCAGCACGATGAATTGCCTCTTTAATAAGATCCAACCCTTCAGAAATGCTGAAAATGGTACAAAGAGACCAAAGCTAAGATGCCAAAACAAAATATATTTTCCCAAAAATTAAGCGCCTACTGCAATCAGCAACCATACCATCTCTCACATGCATTTTTTCATACTATTTTCATCCTAAGTTCAATCCAAAAAGTTTTTAAATTTTAAATATTGCCTATAAAGATTGCATATCATGAAACGCACACATTTCTCAGAATTTTCTTTAATAATTCTAGATTAAATGAACCATTGCAAGTACTAATGAGAATCATGAAATGCATGAGCTTATCCTCCGTGACCATCAATGGTCCTTATCATAAAGAGAAGAAAAGCTGTGTAGCACAAGGATTCATCGACATTTGGAAGGATTTTATGACTATCAAGAAGTAAAATGACATTACCTGGAAATGTTTGGAGCAAATCCTCCGTCATCACCGACATTGCACCCATTAGAACCACACCTCTCAGCAATAACTGACTGTTCTTCAAGGTGAACAAATAACAACTATTTAATAAATCATGCTTTACTCTAGCATGCAGCAATTATTTATGTACTGTAATGAAATGCATTTCAAAAAACATGCCCTAATCAGCCTCAAAAAAACTAGAACACGTGAGCAAAATATGAGAACGAATCAGCCGAACAAGATTTGGAAATTACATCGACCAGATGAAAACATATATTTAATCATACTTTAAGGAAAGAGAAACAACAATCACATTGACAATGAAACTAGTCTAAAGCTCACTTATGAGTTTCATTCAAATCCAACAAGATAACATCAATCATTGCATTACCTTAAGATGAAAATAAGTCTCAGAGCCCATCTGAATTGCTTCCTCAAAGTTATTTGCACCAACAGGCATAATCATGATTTCCTAAGGAATTAGGAGTTATCAATGCTTGGTGCTACATTTAAAGAAAGAAAACAAACAAACAAACAATCATGATTTCACAAAATTTTGTTAAAAACAACGTACAATAGAGAAATGACTAAGGAGAAAATGATTAAAGTTGTCAATATCATCATATAAAAGAGTAGCAGAAGAACACAGGTTAAAAGAAGCAACATCCGGCACTATTCTATGTCGCATCTCAACCTTCCTCATTTGTCTGAAAGCAAACCTCTATCAGTTCATCCCATTTAGATTTCTCTCAATTCACATTTGACTAAATGATCAGAGTCCATAAGAAAAATAGTTCAGCGGCTGCATGACGATGTCCTTATTAGAGGCTTGTTTTTGCTTCTAAGAAAATGATCTCATACCACGCTTTATTGAAAGATAAGTCAAATTGCTCATTTAGAACTTGGCATATCGCTACATTACTTGGTCTTAAATTTACTCCCAATTGAGAATCTTATGGCTCTTTAACTAATGAACAGACCTGTTTTATTCAAATCATGTTTAAATGATCATTTAGTTAGCAATGCCTATAACATCTTGCAAAACAGATTCCTAGATGGGGATGTGTATCATTCCTTTCATATAAATAATGTCACTGTTTTCTTTTTTTTCTGAGCTCAATTAATTAGTACTCCACCTATATCAAATTAAGTTTCTTGTTAGTTACCAAACTCTTAAAGAGCCAGTTTGGTACAGTATTTTCATAATTTTGCTTTAAAATAGCTATCACAATTATATTTGACTACAGCATTCTCATTGTTTTCAAAAAAAATTTGTGGTGGGAAAAACTTTTTAAAACAAAATCTATTAAAACGTGGTTTCCATAAGAATGTTGTTGTCTAAATTTTTTTAAAAGAAAAATATATAATAATCATAATAACTTTCAAAAAATTTGTTTTCCGCATAACATTTGTATACTATTTTCACCAACCATTAAGCCGCCCCAAATGGACACTCATTCAATTTCAGATAAATGTTGGTGATCATAATATCATGTATGAAATCACATTTTACTTCTCTTATCCTAGACTAGTGCATGTTACTATCCACATGCAAGAGCATATATGCATACTTGTACAGCCAGATTATTCCCAGCATGATTGCCGCCACTAATGACAGTAATTGCAGGGACAGGGAGGACTGGGTCATCTTTTCCAGAAAGATCAGCAATGTGTTTGTACAGGGGCACCTGCAAATAAGCAACAAGGAAAAAAAAATCAAAATCACACCAAAGGAACTACTAACAAGTTTAAACGATTTATAAGTCCTACCTCTTTTTCTGCCGCACCAGCTTTGCAAGCAGCAATAGAAACAGCTAACATAGCATTTGCTCCTACTTCTGCCTGCAAAAAAATTGCATAAACTTACATTGAGCTACATCAACTAATTTCCAATGGGGTTAAGTGCGTTTTCCGAATAAAAAGATAAAATAACCCCAACTACTTGGAATGGGGCTGTTGGCTCCAAAAATTTCGTGCCCCGGCCTCTCCACGTACCCCTTTCTTTTCTTTTTCTTCAAGTCATCAAGGAGAATTTTAACAAGTAGGTTTTGAGGCAAATTTTTAGAAGGCAGATGTGGTTTTAAATAAGACACTACCCAGATATTTCGCCCTCATTTGGGGAGAACTTTATGATATCAGTCATAGTTTCCTATAGACACAAGCCCATATAGTTAATTATCCCTCCAGATAGCAAGAAAGTACTTTCGATTAAGGGTAGTTATCAAATAGATATATAATATCCGGTATATATTAGCAGCATGGGTTTAGATATTTGAACATTTGATATTTAAAATTAGAAATTCACCACCTTGCAATTAAAGTGGATGATGGGGGAAGTGATGATGGACCCGATCAAGATTCCATTATTCCGTCGATCCGGGTCATCATTTATCTAAGAGGATAAATTTGAATTCACCTTAGCTAACAGAAGGTTTTGTGCCCTATCAATTATATCATATTAATTCATATCTCAATGATTTGAAATCATTGGGGAGCATATGGGCTCTAACCATGACCATAATTTAGTGATGTCATTTGGCAAAACCACCTAGTTTAGAGGGTCCTGATCATAATCTTTTACCTATAGAGCCATTTGGTGGCGAAACCACTGGTTAGAGAACATGTGTCACATCCTTACTGGTAAGAGACTATTTGAGAATGAATCCTAGTGATATTCTCGACCAGACATTAGCTCTTTGTGAGCTGAAGTAATTTTCGAATTTGTCCATCTCGGCAAATTATTACGGAAGATGGATGGATTTTATTTTAAGTGTTTTATGGTTAATTTTTATGTGAAATATCTTGAATTTTAATTTTTTATGGGTATTTAGGAAGTTAGGAGGCATTTTCAAATATTTGTGGTCCTTCCGGTTGAGATTTTCTATCAACGCGGCCATCATCGGGTGCTTATAGGCAATTTCATATTTAGTGGTTGAACCTTGTCAATTCTGTCTATTTGCATATAGAGGCTTAGGTTCGTTATCGGCTTTATACTTGTCTTAATGAATCTTTCGTGTTATAAACCTTAAAGGACTAATATAAATGTATAAAACAAATATCCAAGTCGATGTTGTGACCGTATATTTGTTTGATAGTTCTAGCCGTGTTGACTTCTATCCATTCATGCAGAAGGATAGGACTCGATCTTGGATTCATTTCTTGGCCCATGCAGCATCCTCAGACGTCACGTGTGTACCCATAACACACTCGTCGGGGCCTATGCGGGTGTGTCTTTGCATGAGGGGGGTATTTTTGCAATGAACAGCTATGCAAATGACAGTCATTTGAGCATACACAACATTTTATTTAGGAACATGTAGATGCCTTCTGTCTGCTTGTACAAATATTGTAGATTTGGTGGCGTGATGTCGCATTATGAGTTGTCCGCTGCTTTGTACAGGTAGAATGTCATGCACTGACGAGTCTCCTGCTATGGCTTATAGATGTTTGTGTTTACTGCAATTTTCTGCATTTGATATGACCCTTTTTGTATTCTTTCTTGTAGATTGTAAGGGTGTTGTACCATTTATTGCCTGTTGTTGATTATTATTGATGCACATATGGCAAATCTTCCATCATTGTATAATATTTTGCATGATGCCGGTCAAGCTGCAGTTGTTGCCAACCCCTTCATGCACATTGATTGGTAGGTTATTGTATTCACTTGCATACTAGCTTCATATTCATATGAGGCATGCTACATGTATATGTGAGCCAATTAGCATTGGAGGGATATTGTTATATTCATTCCTACTCCTTGAGTTCATTTGTAGGTTGACAAGTATATTGCATCTATTGGTATATATCTTGTTGTTGTTCACAAAAGACCCACAAGTATCTTGAAGTTGCTTGTGAATGGACTGTTGCATATGTCATAGGCTCTTTGTTAACTTCAAAGATGATCTGCAGTATACATTATACTTTGACTTTCAATTCTCATGATAAATCAGTTACATGCGTCATTGGATGCATTAAGCATATTTGCACATTTATCACATCTTTTTTGCATATACTTGTAGGAAGTGTTATTATCGGCATGTAGGTTCATATGTTCACTGCATACCAACCCTTCTTACTTGTAAGGCTTCAATGTACTTATTTGCCATTAGTTTACATGCCATCTTTGATTATTGTTGATCGTTGCAAGCAAAACATGTTATCCATTGAGAGCATCATATCATGGCATGAAAGTCGATTATGTTGTTTACAATTTCACTACCATTTGCAAGTAGTTTTTGCAAATCTCTTATCCACCACCAGCCTTATATATGCTCATTTGCATTTAAGTTAGAGCTTGTTATTTTGCAAATCATAACTTCATTTTTGGCAATGTCATTTTTTTATGATTCAATTTGTATGTTCAATTTAAATTTGCAAGTCCCCTGTTGTCTCAATTTTAAGTTCAAATTAGGCCCAGTGCATTTTGGCTCAAGTAAAGTCCTGTGCATTTTGGTTCAGTCAGATCCTGTGCATTTTTGTTCAGTCAGGTCCATTGCAAATTTGTTTCTCTTGTTCACTGAAAATTTCTTCAGTCTCCCGACGTCTCCCCCATTTAGAAAAAATTCCATGAGTCATAGCTTGCCCACCACGTCAGAAAAAAAAATGTGCATGGTCAATATCTAACGAAATCGCGACCGTAGTCTTTGGTCCCACCATGCCAGAGAAAGACGTGCACGGGTTTTCAGGGTTACATGTTTTGAAAACACATTTTTCCCCGCAGACATTGAAGCACACACACAAGTACATATTTTTTACTCCACACTAGAGAAAAGCGTGCATGATGCTTACCTTCCTCGTTGCAGGCGTTGAACGCCGGTCCTGCCTGGATCGGCTGGACCGGTCCAGTGGACCGGTCTAACAGAGGTTTAATAGGATTTGTTTATGTTCCAGTTTGGAATGCGCTAAATGGATGGATGAAGATGTGTGGGCGATAATTTGATTGGGTGAGTGAAGTTGTAGGCATTTGAAGTGGACTGTCGGGCCTTGGAGGGACTTGTTAGTGGGCTGATTTTTCTTTTTTTAGTGGGGGTTGGTTTTGTAGTGGGGAAAAAAATAGGAAGTGTATTGCTATAGAGTGGATGGAGAGTAGGAATAGCGGGCTATTAATGGGCTAAGTTGTAGTGGGGCTGTTTTGGTAGAGATAACAAGTGTATATTGAAATGGTAGTCAGATGTTCACGTGCGAGGGATTCGATTTCCTGTGGCTGGAGACAGAGTGGGACGGACAGGGGGGGTGCGGGTGGGGTTCGGCTACAAGTAGAAGCGTTGGATTGGAGGTCGAATAGAGAGTGGGTTGAGGCGTGAGGGGTTTGGGTGTAGATAGGACAGTTGAGACTATGTTGGGTCTTGAAGCCGGACGTGTGGATTGGAGCAAAGAAGAAGCGGATCAGACAGGAGCTGGTGGAGCTAACGAGTTTGGGATGCTGGAGCTGGCGTCAAGTAAGGTGTTAAGCTTCTACTGGAAAGAGCAGGCTTGAGGAGTTTGGGTGTGGAGAGGTGAAGAAAGAATCTTGCGAATCTACTTGAGGAAGTTCGGTCGGGTCATGCAATTGGATGGGGGATTGAAGTTGGGTGTTAGAGATCTACGCAATATTTATGTCAGGATTTCATGAGATTCAGGTAGAACTTCGACTGATATTAGGTGAGCATTTAATTCGATTTTGATTTTGATTTTTGTAAATTAATTTAAATAATAATAATAATAATAATAATAATAATAATAATAATAATAATAAATCATATTATCAATGTTATTATTTAATTCTAGAAAGACAGAATGAGTCCATTTACTCAAAATCGCCTCGATTCAAGCGCATGTTTTCTCAATTTGCGCGCAAACGCCTCGGAACTAGCTTTTTTTTGCGAGCTACTTTCATTGGGTAAAATTATAGTTGAATTTGGGTATTGTCGATGTTCCAATCGCAACGGCACAGTCCGTTTTGCAATCGAACGTCGTTTGGGAAACGTCGCGCGTCAATTTCAGATGTCAAATTATCGTCTGATTTATCTGCAAAGGCTTCCCTTACAGGCGAATTCGACACTCCGGTCGAAATGGAGCAATTTGTTTGATGATCGGAGGTCGTTTAACCATTCAAGCATTGCGTCGCGCATCAATTTCACTTTATTTTGTGTGGTTTTTTTTTCTTTTTGTTTTTTTTTTTTCTTTTTTGCGTTCAGGGGTCAACATGGACTTTATAATATTGATATTGAGTTTTCAGTTATCTAAACTGCAGGAAACTAAGACGTGGTACTCAAAAAGTTCCCTTAATTATGACTACTGGTATCATGGAACAGTTCTCAATAAGGAGTTTATCGGCAAAACTAATTTGAGATTCTATTTTTTAATATAAGTAATCTTGAATAATTAAAATCAAACATTTAAATAATTCCATTTTGTGGCGGAAAATTTAAAAACTCGACAATTTTTAGTCATCATTTTCATAATGAAATAATTAATAACCTCAACAATACCTTTAGCAACAAAAACAAAAATGGTGATGAAGGAGAAGCTAACGCAGAGGCTTGGATCAAAAGAGAATTAAACAATTTCTTTACCTAGTGAAAACCTCCCTCAATAACAGAACAATGATGACAAGATGATGCTGATGAAGTTAAAGTCGATACAACGAATATAATAATATAACCAAACAAATTTATTAGACAGTGAAAGGTTCCTATTAACGATGAAAAAAAAACAACTACGATAATAATGATTTCCACGAAAAGGACAAGAAGTTGACTTACCTTATTTTCAGTTTTGTCCAAGTCCATCATAGCTTGATCAATTTGGGATTGAAGGGAAGGATCCATGCCTATCAAGGCTTCAGAAATCTTCTCATTGATATTCTTAACAGCCTTTGAGACACCCCTCCCAAGATATTTCCCCTTGTCACCATCACGTACTTCAATAGCTTCATACCTGCAATTAAGTAAAGAGTTGAATTACAATATTAAGATCTTAACTTTCATGTATAAAATAAAAAAAAAAAAGAATGCTACACTATGGCGAAGATTAGAAAGAAAGAATCACTACCATTTTGGCATAAGCTTTATGGATCCTCCTCTACTCACTTCTCTTGAGTGTTACGTAAGAAATATATTTTGGGCAGGATTACCGATCATGCTTACCAGTTCTGATTGTCACATCAGACGGTTGCAATATTTTACAAAATCTTTTTGCACTTCTAGCCATAACACGTTTTTTCTACCCCTTTTTTCTTTCTAACCATGTCACATTAGATATCTTAACTTGCCCAATAAGTACATCTAAGTACATCTACAAACCCCCACTATGCACGCACAAACCATATGTTAAGCAATAAAATCTTCTTTTAGATTCAAAGATAGTACAACAATGTCAAAAATGAGTGAAAATTTCAAAAAATTAATATCAAGATAATAAAATATATCATAGAAGAAGAAAAAGGAAGCAAATCTTTTAAAGATTGGGAACAACTTGCCGGCTACGACATGTGGTTCAATTTATTTTAGCATTAAATCTAGGTTGATTTGAATTCAGATTTAGGAGGGAATTATGAAAGGTTTATTTAGGGGAAAACAGCTTATTTGAATTCAGATTTGGGAGGGAATTAAAAACGTTTATTTATGATTAATTAGGTCGTTTTATTTTCATTATGTGATTTGGTGTTCTTGAGTAATTTCCTCTGGAGTTGTTCCTAACGGCGCTTAGGTTCGTGGAGAGCCAATCTACTTCTCAAATAATAGATTAACTGGTATCTTGGTTTGTTGTGTCGATATCAATAAAATTAACCTATAATCTCATTCTTTCTGGCTGATTTTTTATGTGCTTTCCCCTTATTATTACTTTTTTTTTTTTTGGAGATTGGATTCCTATCAAATTGGTATCATAGCACCTTTTTTGGGAGCTATGTCGGCTAAGAAGGTTAATGCATTGGAGGAGAGGCTTGATGAGGAAGTTGAAAATCTGAAATTTGAATTAAGGTAGCGAATTTCAACAATTGAGAGCAGATTTTCAAATCTAGAAGATGATGAAAAGGAAGTTAGAGTTTTAAGCAAGACACTGTTGACCGGACAAGAAAATAGGGAAAATCCTAATATAGGGATGATGATGGACAATCGGGAAGTGGAAATTTTGGGGGAAGAAGAGGAGATGCCACCTTTGTAGCCACTTCTAAGGAGGGGAACAGGTAAAGGGTATGGCGGATGAAGAAATTGGGATGATGAAGATCGGAGAGCTGATTTGGGGGAGAGGGAAATATGGAGGGATCACAACACCCACTACATTGGAGGAGGAAGAAGCAATTGGGGCAGAGGCAGCCTAGGGTGAGAAAGTTGAAACTTGAAAATGTCAATTTTTTAGGAAGAAGATGCTCATAAGTGGATTTATCGAGTTGAGCAATATTTTGCTGTAAATGGGTTGATAGAAGATGAAAAACTCACCACAGCCACTCTATGTCTGGAGGGGAAGACTCTAATTTATCCTGGTACCAAATCATAAAGGGAGTTTAAAGACTATCCACTATAACATTTTTCAACGAGTCGAAAAGGAGATAGTGATATAGTATCAGGAGAAATTTGAGCATTTCTCAAGCCGATTAGGAAAATTGTCGGAAACTGCTAAAGGGAAACTTTATGAAAAGGATCAAGCCTGATATTCAAGCAGTTGTTCAAGTACTGAGACCCCGTGGCTTAGGGGAGGCTATGGAGTTAGCCGAGCTGGTGGAGAATAAAAACTTGGAGAGGGGTAGTTGTAGCAGCAGTTCATGAGTCTCATACCGCACGACCACTATATTTCAAGTACCAAAGGTGCAGACAATGCCTATTTAGAAGAAAGCCCCGACGGATAAAGGTCAAGGGGTACGACCAGGCGGGTACTTCAAGAGGTTGACTGAGTCAGAAATTCAGGAGAAGAGGGTCAAGGGTTTATGCTTTAATTAGGTATGATTCGCTCCATGACACTATTGTAAGGATCTTTCATTATTGGTCCTAACAATCTACGATGAGGAGGAAGTTGTTGCAGAAAAGGAAGTAGAGGAAGAAGATGATCACCTACACAGGCTACACTTAGATGATGCAGAGGTACCCCTTCACTCAGTGGTCCGATGCGTTGCAGAGGTATCTCTTAACTCAATGGTCTGGTTCACACCGAAACACACCATGAAGGTTAAAGGAAAGAACAAGCACCAGGAGGTTATAGTACTGGTAGTGGAGCTACCCACAACCTCATTTCCAACAAGATGGTGGATTAGTTCATACTGAAATTAGTGGGCATGGGAGTTTTATAGTTTAACATGAAGCCAAAATGCAAAAAAGAAATACAAGGAATCAGAAAACCTTCTAAACTAGTAATAAACATCATAGTTAGTAGCTTAATGCTTTATAAACATGAGATAGATAAGGAACAAATGGATTCGTTTTTTATCAGCAGGATATGGTAGAATATAATGTTTGTTTTCATATGATTCAAAATTTTTTAAAGCACTTACTGACACATAGCTTCTCTTACTCATCATCCTTTCAACATGTACATCCCAATGAATCATTTATTCAAGAATCCTCCTTCAACTTCTCAATTTTTTTATTAGTGATCCTCAGTAGGGATTTGATAGGAAATACTTGTGTTCGCAAGTAACCCTAAGTTAATACTTGAGTTCGCCAGCAATCCTAACCCAAATCGATATGCAAACAGCAGTGAAACGGCTGTTTGTAGCAGGAAAAACAGCAAAAACCTGCTGTCTACAGCAGAAAATCAGCACAAACCAGGGAAAACCGTGAGAAAAATCGATGCAAGACTTGTATTCCACTAAAAGATGCAACAAAATAGAAAAGATACAATTGATCCTCAATTCGAGAGGGAGTAGCTCGTCGAACGTTTGATTCGCTTGCAGCCCTAATGAGAAGGCCAGTCTTGTGTGACTCCTAAAGTTGAGTTAGGGATGCCTAACGAGCAGGTTCTTTTCACTTTTTTCAAGTTATTACTGATTTTAGTTATACAGGGAACCTCTTTGAAAATAATTACGGAGACTAAACTTATTATATGGTTCTCTAAGAGCATTATTCGATGTCATGAAAGTTTTGAATGAATCATTAATTGTCTGTGATGTGCAACTACATGTGAATCTTTATTCCTGAAATTTATTCCTATGGTGACTCGCAAATCATCTTTAATCTGTTCAAGCAGGTTGTTTGGTTTCAAGATTTAGACAAAATTTAGACAGGATAAATAATTTTTGAAGCCACATAAATCTTACAACTTTCTTAAATTCTGCTTTCCTCTTGTTTTAGATAAATCCCAGATGTATTAAATCACAGGAGAAGTAGGATAAAGGAAAGGTAAACTACTTTTTTCACTGTGCATCTTTTCTCCTTCAGTCTTGAAAATCTATGTCAAACTGTTCACTAGAATTTAATCAGATTTAACATTTATCATGCCATATAGTTCTCAAAATTTAACACCTCTGAGATTTACTAAATCCTACTTGTAGTCAAACAGTCCCTAGTATCAGTTTCACCAACCTGTAATGTAATTTTTTTCAAATTCCCTAAAATTGCTCAAAACCACTAAGCTTACAGGGCCATGTGAGCGCTAATATAATTTGCTCATTGGATATAAACTTCAGCGCTTACTCCATTGGATAATACTCACATTCCAGTAGATGTACCACTAGGAGCAGAAGCTCGATACATTCCTTTGTTCGTATACAACTCCACCTCCACCGTCGGAATTCCCCTACTATCCAAGATCTGCCTTGCTTTGATCTTTGTGATCGCAGAAGGAACGGCCTTCTTCATATGATTCGACTGCCACAAAAAAAAAAAAAAAAAAAATCACGTCTGTTTAGAGAACCATCAAGACGCTTTTGTGAAATTAGTGATACATGCAAGAAGAGACCGACTGTGAACAAATTTAAGTATTCATTCTTAAAAACCTTGCGAGAACAAAATACGTTTTTTTTTGTTTTTTTTTATTTACATATATACCACTTTATTTCTCATTATTTACCTATTTAATACCTCAAACTAAAAATTTTCATGTCAACTACTCATATAATAAATATGAATTCATAGAATCAGATATTAAAGTTTATGAATGATTAGAATGAACTATATGAGTGATATATTTGACATTAAAATTTTATATGAATGATAAGAATGTAATATTAAAATTTTAAATGTGATATATAAATAACATGAAATAAAATGATATGTATGTAAATCCAATTTTTTTCATTACGAGTCATGAAATTAAAATTCAAAACTTTTATGACAATTTCCAAAAATTTTATAAACTAAAACCAACGCATAATTTACATCACCCTTTAAAATTTTTGGCTTTTCCGTTCATAACATATGAATAGCTCACCTTTAAGGATATGAATGATATATGTATTGATTTCGTATCATCATTATTTGCATATAAATTTGATCAATAAACAATATTTTGTAGAACAATTTATTCATCTAGCCAGAAAAAATATTATTATTATTTTTTACCGAGCAACATAAGAATAAAAAATATATCAAACAAGTTATTTTAGATTCAACGAGTCTATGATGTGGTTAGTTAAATTCACCTTCTAACTTCTGATCAGAAAACAAAATCATATCATGTATAACTCAATTCAAGTTCTTTTTCACTACAGTTTCCTCTAATTTATTCAAATTCTCGCAAGCCACAACCCCCATCCACACAACATGATATGATTATAAATCTGGCTCAACCGACCTGACCGAATTAGCCATCCAGATTCGAATCATGGCCCAAAAGTAGCCAGCCTAGCACCAATTCAAGTTAGTCCTGCTGTCAAGGTAGGTTGCGAGTCCATGAATACCAAGAAATCACATCTACTGCATTTCTTAAAATGAAATTTGTACAATCATATAACATGTTCTTTGATATCATCTTCAATATACAATGTAAAATTTTCATCTTTACCATTCAGAGAATAAAAACATACATGAAACAAAGCTCAGGCTGTCATTAGTTGCAAACTTTAGGATAACAGGTAGATTTTACAGTAGATTGAGAATCCTTTCCTCAGAAGGATATCAACAAACTTCACTAGATCACAACAAAAGCACTTGAAGCACCAGTGAAATGGCTTATTGATCCAAACAACCTTTTTGCAGCGCCAAAATGTCTTATTCTATAGACACCAGGCACTGCAGTTTCAGGAATTCTCCACTCTATAGTTGCATAGCTGTGAGTACTGAACTTCCACGGCCTGGACCACTTGAATCGGAGAGAGAAATCATCATCATCATAAGCAGGGACCCATGTGTCAGTACCCTTCAAGATCTCCACGAGAGAGAAAGTACCTTCAGTCATTAGATCATTTCTGGGACAAGCTGACCAGAATATGACCGCAACGAGGTCGCCCTTGGTAAAAGTTGAGTTCTGAGGAACGTCAGATTTTACATCTCCGAAGTTGACACCAATGGGTTTTGCATCCACCAGCACGGGAGTAAGCAAGCTGATTTGCTTGTTCAGAAGATCCGGAGGCTGTGGACCTGGAGAGACATTAGGACCACCGGCAATAGATGCTGCTAATTTCTTAAACTCCTGAATGTAGGCACTTAGTGTGTGCGGGCCATACAAAGTAGATGCCCCCTGAAGAAGTTTGTATCAGTAAATCACCAAGAACAGGTGATATTTAATAAACAGAGAACTGTAACAATACCACACCCAGGAATCCGTAATATTCATTCATAGAAAGAAGGATAAGGAACATATGGCATGATTTCCATACAACCTTATCGCGATTGGTGAATTGCAACCAACAAAAATGACCATAAGCTTCAGTCATCTGACTTGCAAATAATGGCAACATGAAGAAAGCTTCATTAAGGCTTCATTTTGCATGGCTTTCTTGCTACTTCATTCAGCAGCTTTTTAGTACAGAAATTTAAATTTTTATACTAGAAAGCTACTTTAAGAAGCAGAAAGAAAGTCGTCCCAAACGAAACCTAAATCTGGAAATGCACATGATAATTTTACTCATTTGTTGAAATTTTCATTTCAAACATGCTTTCTGAGAAGAGCTTGTTCAAACAATAAATCCTGAAGGGTGTTATGAGCAGTGAGGATTTAGACGAGCACATATAAAGCTATCAAGCATGTGTTAACCTAAGTCCCAACTAGACACAAGCATACTGATCGAATGATTCCATCATCAGATCTCAAAAGAAGAGTCAGCTTCAACTGAATAAAACAAAAAATGTGAGCATTCCACAATGAGGTTTAGGAGAAAATAGATTGAAATGCAACCTACTTTAGTCTATTGGTTGGGAGTTTATGTTGCCAACTAAGAGGTCCTATAATCCCAGCCTTGCATATATTCATATGTGGTTGTCAGCTTTCTACACTTTTTAACGCAGAACCAAAACAGTTTCATTCTTGCCCTCCTGACTTCTTCTTTTTCTCACCTCCCTAATGTCAGTTTGGTATCAAAGCTTCTATGCTGGACGACAATAAGAGACCAATGCACGATAACGATCTCAACTGGAGACCCTGAGGCGCAGAAGACCAAGTTAACACATTCATAACGCTAAGAGGAAGAGGAATGTTAAGAGACAGCGTTGAATGAGAGAATTACTAAAAGCACATTTCCTCCCATCTGCTATTGAAAAAAACTATCTTGTTATAATACCAACGTTGTTCTCAGAGCTACCGATCGAGAAGTTTTACCCTGTTAGTACGCGCAATGATCTAAATGAAACGGAATGACTTGTGGTAAGATATGTTGGTGGATTGAAAGAGTCCATCCAAAACAATCAAAATAAACTTGATTTGGCCACCATCTCGGGCAGTTAACTTTGCTGGTAAATCTGAAATGCAACTTAGTCGAAGTTCCAAGGCCAACTCATAAACTAACAACACTCCGAATAGAGTAGTGGATCAGAGAAAGGTGCTGCTCAGTATTGTTCAAGTGGATCTTTCAACACTTTACAATCAAACTCCCTTCAATCCAAAGTTTTGCAAATTTATGCATTGCTAGAACCCAACACAATGTCATCCCGAGGTGGCAATCATTTTCATAATTGTTATCCCTTTTTTAAATGAAAAGTTTCATTCAGTGGAAAAAACTCTTCAAGAAATCTTGTTTAGGATCGGAATGAGACATTTACAAGAAAACACAACACATTTGCAAAATTACACAATAAATTCCTTCAATCACGAAGGACAATGGTTTATTTTAGAGTTTTAAACATCAAACTTCTAAATACAAATGACTCCATCCGAATAGAAAATTATTGTACTTTCTATAAAACTATGTTTTGATGCAATAAATTTAAAATCGAGGATCTTAAAACCTCAAGTCAATGGTTGTTGATTCAAAATTCATCAGAAAATTCCTCATATTTAATTTCATTTCCTTCACTTTCCTTCAATCCAATAGAAGCCTACATGTCTCACCATCCCAGTGTGAATGTCCTCACTAAATTAACTTTTCCCATGAAAATGAAATCCTTGTATATGAAACATAGAAGATCAAATTTTTCACTATGATCATGAATTTGAGTATTGTATGATGCGGTGCATTTTAAGCTAGAATGGTTCCTTAGGAGTACTTTATCTAGTTTGTTGTTATTTCCTTCTAGAATGCTCTTTTGGTCTTATAAGTAGGAGGTCTTGTAGAAGAAAAGGCATTGAATGATATTATCCCTTTGTTAAAGCTTTGGAAAGCTTCTTCTTCTTCTTCCCTGGATTGGGAAAACCCAAATCCTTCTTGCAGGTCGCATCTTCCGACGAGGCGTGATCCACCGCCGGAATGCCCACCGCTCGAGCTTCCATTGCGATGGCGAAATCCTCTGCCTCCACAGATTACGTCGCCTCGCAAACGGAACTCCGATCTTGATCCGATCCAGATCGATTCCGATCAAATAGAAACATCTCTGGAAGTGGGATACGCCCCAAACCAGCTGGACGATAATCCCGTCTCCGACCTCATATCGCTGGCACCCACTGCGGGGACCGCCGACCAGACTCCCGCACCCCCAGCCGCCGATTCGCCGACCCGACGCGTGCGTGGCTTCGTCCGTCTCTTGCCCGATCGGGATCTCGTAGCCGAAGAAGCAACTGCCACTGTTGTTTTCGACTCTGCCTCTGCTCAGCTCACTGGACCGCTTCTCGCTTCATCCAATTTTCCTACATGTCCTCCACCGCCAGTTCTGGTTGCTACTACTTCTAACGCTCCTAGATCTCTGTCGTTGCCGCCCGCTCAGTATGATACTGGAATTGGGACTGCTGTTCTGAAGTTTTCAGATGGAAAGGATGAATTAGCACCAACATCAGAAACCAAGGATGCCGCTAACCAGGTATCTCAGGAAATGAATAGTAGTAGGGAGCTGGAATCGCCCGTTGAGCACATCCTTCTCTCTCTTGAGGGCGAGAGCACTAAGCTGCAAATGGAATCCTCTAAATCCAAACAAGTTGACCATGCTATTTTTGAACAGCCTAGCTCAGGTGAAGCTGTTCCGTTTCAACCTTCTCAGCTCACCACTCAAGTCAATATCTCAGAAGCTGAAAAATCTAGTGAGCATGCTCATGCATTGGCATCTTCGGCTCCGCATTCCTTACCTGTTCAAACAAGTCACTCTGCAAATGATTCTATCCAGGCCTTAATTGGTCAGATGAATGCGGGTGAAAATATTGCAACAGAGGCAACAGCAAGCCAAAATAATACCACTACTACTCCTCCGTTGCTGCCCGTTCAGACAGAGCACCCACTCTGCTCTTGCGATTTTGCTTCAAGTGTTGAGCTTGATCTCTCACGACCAGATTCCAGTCTTGCTGCCTGTTCCGACTCCAGTGTTGAGGACATCTGCATAAATGATCCATACCCGCATCAATGTGTTAATGATGAAGATGAACACAATGATATTTTCATATCAGAGGCTTCCTTTCTCACGGTATGTCATGATCTTCTTGCCTTTAGCATTCCTGAAACAAATATAAATGACGTGGAAGTGTATTGCAATGCTACTGGATGTGGTACTCGAAGTATTTTCACTACAGGTGTGAAAATTTCTGGTCAGAATTCTACTGTCAAAGCCGATCCAGCGCAATGCTCTCAAACTGTTTGACAATATGTCACTACAAAATTCTGCATCCCTGTTGAAGATGGTGGCATTGGTTTTGATTACTGTCTTCAAATGGCAGTTCCTGATAAATGGATCGAAATTCTTAAATTACAAGATGAGAAGTGGAGGATGGGAGATATTGTGCACACGCTTAAAAATAGGAGATGGTTAGAGAAATGTATTGCGTATACTGAAAGCCATGATCAAGCTCTTGAGGGCATCCTTCCCTTGAGGAACCCGTTGCAGCTCTTCCTTATTATTGAACTCAAGGGCTGCAAAGAGTATCAAGTGGAAAGTGGTAAAGAGTTTGCAATCCTTGACATTAATCATGATGGCCTTGGTAAATGGGAACTACCGAATTTTCTAGAGAGCTGGGACTTTTCTGATGTAATGCTTATTGTTGGTGCTGAAAGAAAGATTGTTCCCACTCATAAAGTTACTTTGAATGCTTATGGCGACTTCTCTATCAATTCTTCTAGTTAGATAATGAGCAACAAATCCAACGAAGTTGATGACAATAATGGTGCAGAGAGAATTGGAGATCTTTCTTCATTTGATGAAAATGAGCACAAGGTTAACATCTCCACCATAGCCAAACTGGGGGTGCTCCTCCTCTTCTCCCTCCTCCTCAGTTGCCTCGTTCATCTTCCTCCTCCTCAGAATTCCCATTATGATCACATGTAGTGTCTTCTGCCTTACACCTATGGCGTGGGTAAATTCTCATCACATCGGTAGCAAAGGCCGTTGTCCCTTTTCTCTTTCAGCTCTGAATCAGTTAATCTCTTGAAGCCCTCCTTGGTTCAGCTGCCATAGTGGGTTTCTCTCCTTGATCTATCTCGCTAGGAGGAAGGATGGTGTTCGCCTTTGGGCCTCCATCATGAAGTGGTGATCGGTAAGTGGGCGTAGGACACCTGATCTCCTCGGTGGCTCCACCTTAGCCTTGTCCTGCTACAAGCTGTGCAGTCTCCATGAATCTTCACTAATCCCTGTGGAGCAACGACCTGATGGGCTTTGCTCTGATGTTGGGGCTTCAACCCTTCATAAAATTTCCCCTCCAAAAGTCCATCTGGAATCCCCTCGCAATTGCCCTGACCAGTAGTTCAAAGTGCTCTCTATACTCTGCCACTGTGCCCTCAGGCTGGCCTAGAAGCCACCAACTGCTCCATGAATTGTGGTACCTCTGCTTGGACCACCCTTGAATCTATGAGTAGGAGGTAATTCTTGAACTCCTCCCAACTCCTTTAAGGTGTTTGTCTGCCCTTCAAGCCATTGAAAGCCAGGCCAATCCCTTCCCTTCCAAACATAACCGGAAAATCGCCATCAACTTCTTCATCTTCTGTGACACATTCACTTGCAAAAATAGGCGGGCTCCAACCCTGTAGATCCATCCGTAAGCATTCTTTCCCTTTCAAAAATTAGGGGAATCTTCAACTTCTCATGGCGGTTGTCAGCTCGGGGGTGGGGAAGGTTCTTTCCATCTCCCCAATTGTCCCCTGAGTAATCCCTCCCCTTGTGGTCTTCCTCCTC